CCTCAAATTTGCAATGATCCTCCTGCCTCAGCCTCCCAAGTGCTGGGATTACAGGCATGCACCACCACACCTGGCTTCTCACATACATTCTTGATTAACCCTTGTATGGTTCCTAAAACCAATCGGTTAAAAAAAATATATATTTTTAAGGTTTTCACATTTTAAAAGTAGAACTATCCCTGTGTGGATATTTACACAGGTGGTGTATATTTGCTGAGACTGCTCAGATATGGTAAGAAAGTGACAAGTCTCTACCCATCAGTGCATTGACACTTACACAGCAGTTTCATGGGATCAGTCCAAAGTTGGAGGTCTTCCAATTCAGATATGGAGACAAAATCAAATAATGATAAAAAATAACAACAGGTACTTTTGAGTGTTTAATTTATACAGTTTTTATATAATACCTCTTTTAAGCATCACAGAAACCTCCTGCCATAGTTACTTTTCTCATTGCTAAAACAAAATACTCAACATCCACAAGTTAAGGAAGAAAAGGTTTACCTAGCTCACAGTTTCTGGAGGTTTCAGTCCATAATTGGCTGGCTCCAAGGCAGAGTGACACATGACAGAGGGGCAACAGTTCATGGCATGTGGAAGATAGCAAAAATAATGAGAGGGGGACAAGACTTTTTCAGTCCCTTAGATTGTATTCAGGCTACCTGCCCTAGGGCAGGTGTAGCACTCACACACTTAATCCCAGCATTAAACCATGAATCAACCACAAATTCTAGGTTCAACCACCTCTGAAAAGCCTGCTTTGGAGGGACATTAGACACAAACCGTAACATTTCCTTAGGTATTTTTCCAGAGGAGAAAATTGGCAGTTAGAGAGAAAGAGTCTTTAGAGTTTTCCACACCCAGGCCACCAAGGAAAGAGACAAGATTTTTTTTTTTTACAGAGTAAAAGAGGATAACATAGTAATAGGGGCGCTTACCGAGTTACAGACAAAGTGGTAGAAAATTATCAATGGTTGTTTTGCATATTGTCATTTACAAGATAGTTTCTCAGGAAAACAAATAGACAAATAATAGTGAGTTACAGACAAAAGTGGTAAGTTATTATCAATGGTTGTTGTACTATACTTTGGTATCTTCAAAGTGGTTTCTAAAGAAAATAAATAGAGCTATACATGAGTGACCAA